GTTCGATCGATAGATCAATAAATCAATAGAACGTTGATGGTGAGTACAAACTACGAACCTGTTCCAGACAGTTCTCGAACTCTCTAGNAACTATCCTTTGGATCTTTCTTCTCAGGTGATTATTTGTTTGTCTATATTTTATTTTTTTCTATTTTAATGCACATAAAAGATATAATAAAGAAGTAAATACTCAATTTACTGTACAAGAATAAAGGGGTTGCTCTTGCCAAGCACTGGCATGGGTTCGAGTCCCGTCTAAAGCTTGTGATTTTGCCAAAAACCCGCCATTTTTTGAGAATTTATCTAATTGTTCATTTATTTACTTATTACTTATTTACTACGTATTGATTTCTCGAAACAAACTGAAGCTCTGAATGGATCACCCGAAAAATGCATTATTTGGATAGACTGAAAGTATGCAAGCTGAAAAAAAAATATTTTTTGGCTCCTAAAGAGTCTTATGGTCAGTTGTAGAGCAGAGAAAACTCCTGTTGAATTTGTTTAAAATTGAGTGAAAAAAATTTATTTAAAAAATATAAAAATGAAAATGTAAAATTTTTAGTTCCTTATTCTTATTAATTTCGATTTTCAAAGGGGAATTGCTCGCGTAGGAAACCCACCGGTGCAGAACTCGTCCTACCGTATCCTGACTTTCCGTTAAGGATGCCATAAATTGTTCGAAATCCCTGAATTGTCTCCGAACAATTCTGAGATCGTTCCGATCCACTTCTTGCAATAAGCTCAATTCTTCCTCGGCTTCTAAAAGCCATGTGAGCACCTGTAACATAGAATTCTGGGTCGATCGATAGATCAATAAATCAATAGAACATCAGAGTACACACTACGAACCTGTTCCAGACAGTTCTCGAACTCTCTAGTGAGCTCTTCTTTTCTGGCTCGCTTACTTTTACTGGACTTTTGACTTGATGATGATGATTTTCTCGAACGAATTTCTCCCTGCAGCAATTCAAATCTCACGTAAACATGATTGTTTACTAAAACATGAGCCCAGAAGAGAATACCCAAACAGGAATTTCAAGGCTAACCTCCATAGATTGTTCGGTGCCGACCTTTTTTCCTCTGGGAGACGTCCTATCCGCTTGTGCTGGAGTCGTCGATGTCGACGTTGAAGGAGCCGTCGCTGAAAAGAGTTTAAGATTCTCTCAAGGCGTGCCTCTCAGTAACAATGGAACTCACAGCATTGTTGCTGAGATGCTGGAGTCGGCACGGCTTCTGATGGAGCCGGAGGCCGCTGCTGAGGTGCTGGAGCCGGCACAGCTTCCACTGGAGCCGGAGGCCGCTGCTGAGGTGCTGGAGCCGGCACGGCTTCCATTGGAGCTGGAGGCCGTTGCTGAAGTGCTGGAGCCGGCACGGCTTCCATTGGTGCTGGAGGCCGTTGCTGAGGTGCTGGAGCCGGCACGGCTTCCATTGGTGCTGGAGGTCGTTGCTGAGCTGTTGACATCGACATGGCTTCCACTGGAGCTGATGTTCGTCGTTGAGCTAATGGCGTCGGCACTGCTTCCACAGGAGCTGGAGGTCGTTGCTGAGGGGCTGGCATCGGTATGGCTTCCACTGGAGGTGGAGGTCGTGGTGGTTGAGCGGGCGCAGCCGGTACAGCTAAAAAACGAGAACGCTTCAAGTCAATCAAAGAACAAAGCGAATGAGAAAAGAAAAACTGAAAAACATTACAAAATATTATAAAAAGGGTAATCAGTATTGGAATGGACGTTTACAGCTTTTATCGAGTTGTTTACTTACTACTGTTTCACAACGAAAGGGTGCAACTGAACTTGACGGTCGCCCCATGGGGAGGGCTCCGGGAGAGAGCTGAAAAAAGCCTTGGTCGTGAGCAGGGATTATCTAATGACAATTACCGATGATGAACATTCGTCCCCATGCTTAGAACCAATGGACGTGCTGAGAGGGTGAGTGGGCCCCAAGAGATCCTAGAAACTCGCCCACCTTCGACAGGGAAAGAGAAAGCAAGGCATCCTGCTCAAATAAGCGCTGAATAAGGAATCCAGGAAGAACCATTTTCCAGCTAAGTCATAGCGAAAGGGGTGAGCCGCGACTGGTCGAAAAGTTATGATGGGCGAGAGCAAGCGACAACGGGAGTCAGTACCCGAGAAGTTAGCCGTCAAAGAGACACATAGAAATAGACAAGAGAATAATAACGACACAAACGACAAATAACGAACGAGAGGAGGAGGCCCCAGAAAATCCTGCAGTCTCTACAGAGCATTTTAGTGAAAGGAACTCAGATTGTACGTGTAAGATGAGCACGAGCAAGCGACACTGGGCGATAGTAGGTAACAGTAGGCGATTATGACCCAAGTATAAATGGAACTTCAAGCTAAGCGCAGCGACATCAGATGAAACTTCTAGATAGTGACTTCATATCATAGAGGGTCACTAGTAAAGTCAACAGCATGCAGTTGGAAACGATAAGAAGCAACAGCCAGCGACATGGAGCTGCAGAAATCCTAGTATAAACTGCCAATATAACTAATTTTGCATACAATTTTGTCGAGGCTCTGCAACTACGTATAACAAAGTATCCTCGCCTAAACCATGACCTTTAGATAGTTACAAGTAAGCAAAATTTTTGAGAAAAACCATTGAATTGTGCCGTTCATGGAAGTACTCTCTCGAAATAACAATCATCAAAAAGATTTTAATCGGAAAAAGGTCGGAGCAAACAAAACCTTAGAAGATTCAGATTTTAGCTTTTGAAAAAAAATATTATCAAGTAAGTATCGGTTGCGTACACACCTTCAACATATGAGGGGGGTTGGGTGACTGCAGACTGCGGACTTTGTGGTTCGATTTGCTGCAGATCAACAGACTGTGACGACCCGAGCATCTCACCCGCTTCAACCCCTGGTTTCTGCGAATCTCGACGGGTAGATGAGCCTGAATACGAAAAAAACTGATAGAGAAGAGAAAGGCCGAAAAGAAAAGCTCATTCACCTGAAATCGACCCTGACCGGTCCGTACTGGTCATGTACGCATCCTGAAAAGAAAAAACGTCTGGAACCATTTCAAATGGGCTTCCTAGAGAAGCTATTGCTAAGGCACTGTTTCAAAATCAGATTTCAATGTGTTTTTCATTTCGGTGGAAACTTTAGATATAGTTTTAGACAATTAAAATGGTAATGTTGGATGGGCGAGGGTCATGAGGCGCCGTCAGCACATGCACGGCCTACATACCGAATTACGGTCAGGAGTTATGTACAGAGGAAGCGAGCTTGGCTTCGAAAAAATGTGCTTGTAGCTGTGATTGTAGCTTCGATTAGGTCATTATAAATCCGGAAAATGTAATAATTCCAGTAGATCATAGCCAACTAGTGATATTTCATATTACTTACTAATTGGTTATATTATTAAATTAAAGAAATAAGCGAACTCCAAAAGAAGGATTACGTTTACCCTCGCCAGCTTGAGTTCCTTTGAGCAAAACAGTTACTACCGGAAGAAGCCCATTACTCCGACTCACAACTATGCATCCCCATGTCCCCTGACCCTCCTGGACGTATGTAGCCTTCTTTGCCACTTGAAAAGGCATGGAAAGCTAGACAATCGAAAGTCTAGGCTCCGCTGAGAGACCGCATGTTCGAGCTCATTCCAACGCAAAGTGCATCCGTAAGAAGAGGTTGCAAAAATCTTGTCGGCGTCATAGCGGGGTTCACAGGCGAGCTTACGGCGATGTTCAGAAACAAAAAGGATAATCACGTCTCATGGGGAGAAGAAGGAACGTATTCTGCGTAGAGGAAGAGAAGTAGTGCTGCCTCCGTCCCAGAATGGTATAGCAGGTAGGAACCACTTTCTTCACAGTAGGTAGGCCCTAAAATGAAAGCGAAATTCTCCCAAGCGAACCAAGCCTACCGTACTGGATCTAACGAGATGGTGACCGGACACCTCCGGGAAGGAGCTTATTCAAACCTTGCAGCCTCCGAAACAACAGTCCCCAAATAACAGGTTAGCGGCCATGGCATGCGGGTCTTACTGTATACTACCTGCACTTGATGGAGGAGCGGAATAGCCCTGAAACGCTGTAAACCACATCAAGACCATCATCTTGCTTAAAATATACGGTAGCGAAATTCAGCTGAATTGCTCCTTTGAAAACTCATAGCTGCGATATTGCCAAGACTATGTTGTAATGAACGTGATGTGCCGGATGATGGGTAATACGTCAAACAGAAATAAGTGCTATGCATTCTGAAAACAAATCCGAAGAAAGGACAGAAGATTGTAATAAATGAGCCTAAACCCTCAGATTTATTGGTGGATTTGAATGAAACACTTCCCACATGGGGACCAGAAAAAGCTGATCAGGTGTAGCCCCTTTAAAGGGGTGGAGATGGAGCAGCGAACGCTGTGAATTGTGCTCGCTACATTCTTGAGATGGTCCCCCAGAGAACCAAATCCTTCTATTTCATTGGCAATAATATTTACCTTTAGAATCTATCGCATAGGCTTTACACCGGTCCTAATGTCCCCGATATCTGGGCTATAGTCATAAACGTGGCGCATTCCAAGGGCCTTTAATGAGCGTTTAATTGCCACCAAGTCTCCGCCCATTACAATTTGATTTGAATGATCCGCTTCCACCAACAAACCAACGAATTCCAAGAAAGAAAGCTGAAAGAAGTCTTTGCACAGATGTGGAATTGATCCAGGAACACGTGAAGAGCGAAAGATTCAACCACTGAGCCATACCTCCACCCATCAGACCATCTCAATGGAAAAATCCAAAACTCTTGCCAAAGCCTCTGCTGAGTGGTTTAGGAGCCATGGAAGAAGACTCAAAAATATGACCACTATCAATTAAGGTATCGTCTAGTGGTCAAGAATCACTGCATTCTGAGAAAATCAATACCGATCGATACCAACAAATCACTTGGAAAGGTGGAGAAGATGAAGTGATACATGGAACAGCTTTGTTGCCGTTCAAACGTTCCCATTATCATCCATCAATACAAGTTTCAGAACATCAAAGCAACCGACAGGTGTCGAAAGCGGTTTTGATGAGCTATTAAATTGTTTATCACCCAAATACCTGTGGCAACAGAGATTACACTGTAATAGTAAAGCTCCATGAATTCTTGGCGAGTAGGTGTCAAAATGAGTTATGAAAACAGCTGATAGGAAATGGATCAATGGCCCCGTGGAAAAAAACAAGAAAAAATTTATAGCAGATAAGGTAGCATAGTTGAAAGCCTACTGCGAGGCCGGGAGGAACCGGCAAACGACGCTTAGTCCCAGTCCCTCATCGCAAGAATTTCAAGGAGCTCGGATATATAAAACTCCTTCGAAAGCTTTTTTCGATGGATTTTTTCAATATTTTTAAAAATAATATTAAAAATTTAGGGTAGTTACAATTTTCGGTACTATTCTACTATTACACCCCCAAAATCTCAAAATTTTAATTTTCGATGAAACTTCGCCTATAGGGGTAATCCCATGCCCTGACAACAAA